CTTCCTGGAGCCCATTATCTGCTCTTCTCGGTGCCTGGAAGGCTGAGCCTATAGACAGCATCACTGACCCTCTGGCCCCGGCTTCCAGTCGGGTTCAGCTAATGAGAGCAATTGGAGCGAGATCAGAGGACAGGAGGAAAGGCCCTTCTCTTCTCATTCCCTTCTTGTTTCAGCCTGTGCGGTAGTCAGCCTCCAAGATGGCCCCCACCACCCATCCTGGCCTCCTGTAATAGCCCCCTTTCGTAGTCTCCTTCCACACGGCATCAGGGCTGACCTGAGCGGTCCACAGAATGTGGCTGGGTCATAAGAGATATTGTGGTGTCTGCCTTGCTCATTATTGGATCACCTGCTCAGCGATAAGCCAGCTGCCACGGTGTGAGGAAGTTCACGAGGTCCTATGGAGAGGCCCGTGTGGCAAGGAGCTGGGGGCTCCTGCCAACAGCCAAGGGATGTGCCATCCGGGAAGGGGGTCTGCCAATCTCTGCCAAGCCTGTTGATGCTTGCAACCCTGGCCACTGTCTTAAGGGACCCTAAGCTAGAACCACTGATACTCTCTGTCCCTGTCTCAAAATAAATAAATAAATAAATAAATAGAAATACTGCATGGTTCTAGAAGCAGGGTTCTGGCTCCCATGTCATGGCTTGCACCCACGGCCCTTTCTGGTAACAGCTTCCCACTGCTGCTCATCTTTGGGTGTCTCAACATCCCCTGTTGGCTTCCGTGTGGCCTGCTTCTCCCCGGGGCCCTGCCTGGCGCAAGAAGTAACGGCGAACGAGACAGATGCCATCTCTTGCCCGTTCGGAATTGACATTCTGGTGGGGAAGGCGGGCAGTAGGTTAGCTCACGAGTAAGCAAGCCAGAGAACTTCGGAGACCCGCGAGTGAAATAACGCAATACACAGCGCAAAGGCTGGCCGGGACGACTCTGCGAGCTAGGCTGGTCAAAGGTGGCCCTGGAGAGGACACAGTCGGGCTGAGCCTGAACGGAGGAGAGGGCAGCCCAGCCAGAGAGGGCAGGTGTGGTCACAGGCAGGAGCAGGGCCCGTAAGGTCAGGAAGGATCTGGATGCTCTGGGCACAGGCAGGAGGGCCACGTGGCTGGAGCAGAATGAGCGGGGCGGACAGGGAAATAAGGAATGATACAGGAGATGCAGGCAGGGGCAAATAAAGAGTTTGGTTTCAGCCTACAAAGCGACGCCACAATGGAAGGTATCTCAGGGAGGCGCACGTGTGATCCAGGGCACCTTGCAGATGATTCTCTGGGTGTTCCCAGAGCATAGAGGGCAGGAGCAGAGGCCCAGAGTCCAGGTGGAGACTCTGACAGCAGCCCTGAGACGGGGGACGCGGGGACCAGGAGGGCCTTGGAGAGACCCCAACCATTGGGGAATCAGGGCTGTTGGAACTTGCTGGCTGTGGCGGGCAACATGGCTGTTCCATCCCAAACGCCCTTGGATCCACGTTTCCCAATTTTGTGCTTCTGTCTGGACGGCCCAGGCGAGCCAGTGAGACAGATGTGCCTGGGAGCTTACGTCCCAGGGGAGCCCATCTATGGTTCGAGCCCTGGGGTCCTCGAGGGACCAGGCCAAAGCCACCTGCCCTCCTCAGGATGGAGCCTGGGCTGGCCTGGCTTCCCTGGGACACCTCCTTAACAGATTGCTGTCCACACACCCTCATTTTAGCGTCTGCGTGCGGGGAACCCTACTGTAGACACGATGGGATAGATGTGCGGGGCTGGAGCTGGGGCCCAGGGAAGGAAAGAGCCTCAAATTTCCCACTAAGTGATCTGTGCTCACAGTGGGGGAGGGGTGGTGACTCACGGGCTCCAGGGCACAAATGTCCAAGAGGTGGGTGACTTTTGAGTCTGAAGCTGGGCTGTGGATTAATCAGCACACGGTCACGGGTGGGATGGGGTTCTGCCCGTCCCCTTCCGCCTCGGGACAGGCACAGACCCACCCCTTTGCCAGGGCCCAGGCCCACCTCCAGCTGGGACACAGGTCAAGAAAATGGATGGGACTCATTCAAGGGGGTCGTCTTAGTGGTGGGAAGGGTTATTTGTCTGGTGGATGCTCCACCAAGACTGGACCAGGAAGGGTTGCTTCCTTTGTCCCGTCTCACAATTGAGGGAGACACCCCCTCATAGTTGATGGTCTTGACATCTCTGTCTATAACCTTAAGGCTCACACTTGAGTGAAAGAGCTAAGAACGGGAGGTCCTGGCCAGCCCCAAGGCAGTCATGTATTGGGGGTGGGCCTGGGGGCTGCCCTTACCACCAGGCTCGGGGCCCTAGAGTCGGGACCGCCCATCTCGGCCTCCACCCCAACCGGAAGAGTCCTTCGGAAGGGTTTCTCCTGCCACATGGCCTTAGATATGGGCAGGGGAACCCGCCAGGCTCCCGGGCCTCCGACAGGGCTGACGCCACCGGCTCTCTCTCGGAAATCCGGAAATCAGAAGCCAGACCCTTGTCCTCCAAGACTCTGAGGCCACTGCCGGCCTCCATGCCCCACAGCTGACGTGCTGGGCCCGAGCACCCTGCTTGGCACATGATTGGTGCTCGATGACTGAATTATACCTTAGCTTCTGCGTACAGGGGCTCCTCCATGCCAGACACACGGCGTCCTTCTCAAGAATCATTTCTCCGACGGGCCCACAGGAGACGGTGTTGTTATCCCCCTTTGGAGCGGAGGAAGATGAAGTTCAGGGGTGCCTGGGCGGCTCAGTTGGTTAAGCGCCAACTCTCGGTTTCCGCTCAGGTCATGACCTCACGGTTCGTGAGTTCGAGCTCCACGTGGGACTCTGCGCTGTCAGCCCAGAGCCTGCTTGGGATTCTCTCTCTCCCTCTCTCTGTCTCTCCCCCACTCTCTCTCTCAAAATAAATAAATAAATAAATAACCTTAAAAAAAAGAAGAAGAAGAAGAGGCCAGAGAGCTAGCCAGTTCTTTTTCTTTCTGCCACGTGAGGCCACAGCAAGAAGGTGGCTGTCTGCAAACCCAGAGCAGGGCTCTCATCGGAACCCAACCATGCTGGGCACCCTGATCTTGGGCTTCCGGTTTCCACAACTGTGAGCAACACATTTCTGTTGCTTATAAGCCACGCGGTCAGTGGTAACGTGTTGTAGCGGCGTGAGCTAAGACAACAACAGGGCCCTGTGGTCGCCGCCCAGACAGAAGGGATGGAACTCAGCACAGAATCCCTTGGGCCACCTCTCCTTCCCTCCCCGTCCAGTCTCCTGAGGTCCGGCATGGGCGGGCAGGGAGGGAGGAGGGGGGACGGGTGATCAGGTTGTTCCCGCACAGGCCCCCCACCTCCAGCCCCCATGCAACCCTGCGAGCCCCCACTCAAGCCCTGAGAGAAGCTGCTGGCCACTGAGGGACAGTGCAGAGATCCTGAACAACCGGTCCCCACTCTGCCCGGAACTGGGGTCCAGATCACATCTGGAGTGTAACGTTTACCCGATGACTTCATTGCCTGAATCTGGTCTTCCTCAACGTTAAAATGGGCATGAAAATAACATCTCTCCCAATGAGCTGCTTTGAGTGTCACCCCTTGACCTGCAGGCATCTAAGTTCTAGAAAAGGCAGAGGTCTGGCACCTGCGAGGCCTACGGACTCTGGTCTCAGCTGCTCCAGGCTGAGCCAGGTATAATCTGAATGAGAAGTGAAGGTGACTCCAGGCCCAGCCGGTCCCCCCCCACGGCTCCTGGCACCCGCCCCTCTTCCCCGGGCCCGAGGCTCCCAGCCTGCCAACCGTCACTGCCAGCTTTTTCTAACCGGCACATATTTGAGCCCAGCATCCCTGCCTTCTGCTGCGTCCCACCACCAACCCTCCCCCACGCCTGCCGCCGACCGTCTCCCAGCCCTTCAGAACTCACTCCTCACCTCGGAGTCCTGGCTCCAAACAGCCCCAGAAGCCAAAGTCAAGGCCCTAGACAAAGGCCCAGATGGAGGCTCAGCTCCAGAGCAAGGTCCCAGCCCCCTGGACGACTGTGGGTCTGAAAATCACCTCCTCCCTCTTATCCTAGATCCTACTTTGAAAGCACGAGCTTCCCTCAGGCACTCCTGGGTCCTGCTCCGGCTTCCCTGCCCCTGTTCCGCGCTTCTTTTGGAAACTGCTAGAAATTGAGGGATGGGAGAGAAAAGCTCCAGGGTGGGGCTGCCCCACTCCGGCCCTCCCGGGCCCTGCCAGGGCAGCTCTGGGTGAGCCGGCCCCGAACCCCTCGAGGGAGAGGGGCAGAGCCTCCCATCCGGAAATGTCTAAGTAGTACCTGGCTGCGGAGCTAGGGACCCCGGAGCTTTTCCCTCTCAGCTTCGGAAGCCAGTGGACGTGAGCAAAGTGGGTGGGTGGAAAATGACATTCAGCCTTAGGCAGGGAGACCGCTGGGAGTGGTGGGGACTGAGGCATGCCGGAGGCAAGCAGGGTCCCTGCGAGATTTACGTGGCACCTTTGTGCACATAAGGAAACGTCCGCCTCTAGATGGACACAGTCTTGCACCGGCGCCTAAGGCCTGGTGGTGGAGACCGGGCTGGATCTGAGTGGTCTCCTGTCTGCCCTCACCCCTGCCACCTCTGCTCTTACGTGTCGTTGTGCGAGGTACAACCTACGTGACTCTACGCGGTGGCCCTGGCCCCACGTAATAGGGGAGGCTACTCAGCTCCAGTCCTATAGAAATGAGGGCTTCGTGTTACCAGAACTTCCCATTTTTCAAGGGTAGCTAAATATGGAGAACGTGTGAAATATTCTGAGTTTTACATGTTGGCAGTGAATTCGGATTTAATACACTCAGGAGCCAAACAAATCCCCTACTGATCATGCTGATCTCTGCTATGGATGCTGGGCCTTAGGACAGGGCAGGCATCAGGCCCGCTGGCTTGATGTCTGCACAAGGGGCTTGTGCCCTTGGTCCCGGGCAGTATCGACCAACCCTCCTGGGCACTGGGTTCTCTGGCAGAAGGGCGCCCGCCTCACACCCCCAGATCTGGCGGGCTCAGACCACAGCTGCCCTACCGGCTTGGGGCAGTGGATGTAACGGGCCAGGCTGATGATGAGGTCGTGTGTGATGGGGTCCACCAGGTTCCGGAAGCTGGCGTAGCGGTACAGAACGTCATCCAGAGAGGTTGACTCCATGCCCAGGTCCTGCAAGAGTGAAGGACGCCCAGAGGTCAGGGGCGGCTCAGCCCTACCCCTCGAGTCCCACCCAACAGGCCCAGAACAGCCCTCTGCTCTGGAGGTGGCTCAGTGCCCCGCTCCAGCACCCGGGCAAAGGCGGAGGCCCCCCCCCCCCACCCCGCCACACACTCACACACACACACACACACACACTCCCTTCAAGGTTTCCCAGCTGCAGAACTTCCCCAGGGGGCCAGGGAAGCCCCTGCAGAGATGGCCTTCCCAGTGCAGGGATGTATCTATCTCAAGCCCTCCAACCTCTGGTCGAAGGTTTTCATGCTTCCTGAGGTCATTTTTACTCCTCCTTCTTGGTGGTCCTTTGTCTTGAGGGGCTTCTGAATCGTGGAGTTGAACGAGAGGCTGTCAGGTGCCCAGAAGAAAACCCCACCGGGGCTCCCACAGAAAGGGCATCAAGTGGGGGCAGAGCTTCCCCAAGCTTGAGGAGGGACAAGGGTTTGGGAGTCACCACACACGGAGAGCCCCAGTTGGGGGCCTCTGCAGACACCCCTGGCCTTCCCAGCAATGGACCCCATGGGCTTGGCCCAGAACAGTGACCAGTGTGCATTAGGACCCAGGGGCCCGACTCCAAATGTTCTGGACTGTGTAAGACCCAGAGATTCTTACACAGCCCCAGGGAAAGGGCAGGCTCCCCAAACAGGACTAAGTGTGAATTCCCCACCAGTCAAGCCTGCGGAAGCTTGAAACAGCGTTAATCACTTTAGAGAAGTATAGAAACATGGGTTTCTACCCTAGAGAGTTAGAATAAACTTTATGCCCTCTCTGTGTGAAAAAGCAGGGGTAAACCTTGTGTCTTTCCTCGAGCGCCTCGCCCCAGTCTCTGTTGTCCTCTGGTGGGAGCTACGGTTTCTGTTCTCAGCTTGGTGTCTTGCCTGAACCAGGCAATGGTAACATTTCCACTGGGGGGGGGGGCGGGGACTGCCCCCAGCCCACTTTGAGGACCACTGGGGCCGCCCTCACCCTATGGCCCCTGGTCCCCTGAGCTGCACTTGAAGCTGCCCCCGCACAGGCCAGAGAAGGGAGCATCCCAGCCTGAGTTCCCAGGGGCCAGCGCCCTGGGGCATAGGAAATGTGTGCTTAGTGGGTGAGTCCCAGGAGGGGTTTGCTCCCTGCCATTTTGGGGGGGGGGGTGTCCTGAACTTTTCCAAACACCTTCCCGTGTGATGCTTAGAAATCCCATAAGGTTGGGGCGCCTGGGTGGCGCAGTCGGTTAAGCGTCCGACTTCAGCCAGGTCACGATCTCACGGTCCGTGAGTTCGAGCCCCGCGTCAGGCTCTGGGCTGATGGCTCGGAGCCTGGAGCCTGTTTCCGATTCTGTGTCTCCCTCTCTCTCTGCCCCTCCCCCGTTCATGCTCTGTCTCTCTCTGTCCCAAAAATGGCGCTCAACTGCACCTGAGACATGGTGTTCCTTTAAAATAAATAAAAAGGGGCGCCTGGGTGACGCAGTCGGTTAACCGTCGATCTTGGCTCGGGTCATGATCTTCCGGTTCGTGTGATCGAGCCCTATGTCAGGCTCTGTGCTGACAATGTGGAGCCTGCTTGGGATTCTCTCTTCTGTGTCTCCCTCTCTCTCTGCCCCTCCCCCGTTCATGCTCTGTCTCTCTCTGTCCCAAAAATAAATAAACGTTGAAAAAAAAGAAATCCCATAAGGTTGGGGTGCCTGGGTGGCTCAGTCGGTTAAGCGTCCGACTTCAGCTCAGGTCACGATCTCGCGGTCCGTGAGTTCGAGCCCCGCATTGGGCTCTGGGCTGATGGCTCAGAGCCTGGAGCCTGCTTCCAATTCTGTGTCTCCCTCTCTCTCTGCCCCTCCCCCGTTCATGCTCTGTCTCTGTCTCAAAAATAAATAAATGTTAAAAAAAAAAAAAAAAAGAAATCCCATAAGGCAAGTAGGCTGTGCATCATTATTCCCAATTTACAGATGAAGAAACCAAGGCCCAGGACTTCAGGAATGGAACGTACGACATGACGACTGTGGTCATTGCTGCTGAGTGAGCGCACATCCTAAGAGCTCTCATCGCAAAGAAGAAAACATGGTTTTTCTTTTTTTTCTCCCGTAACTACATGAGGTGAGGCGATTAACTCAGCTTACTGTGGTAACCATCTCACAGTGGCTGGAAGTCAAGCCGTGAGGTGGTACACCTTAACCTTACACAATGCCGTAACTCAATTATCTCCCAGTCACAGGGCGCCTGGGTGGCTCAGTTGATTGAGCGTCCGACTTTGGCTCACGTCACGATCTTTCTGGCTCATGAATTCGAGACCCGCATTGGGCTCTGTGCTGTCAGCTCAGAGCCTGGAGCCTGTTCGGATTCTGTGTCTCCCTCTCTCTCTGCTCCTCCCCCACTAGTGCTCAGTCTCTCTCTCCAAAATAAATAAAAACATAAAAAAAATTTTTTTAAATTATATCCCAGTCACAGTGGAAGACAAACAATCACCTATAATAAAGATGGGTTTTTTTTGTTTGTTTGTTTTTTTCAACGTTTTTATTTATTTTTGGGACAGAGAGAGACAGAGCATGAACGGGGGAGGGGCAGAGAGAGAGGGAGACACGGAATCGGAAACAGGCTCCAGGCTCCGAGCCACCAGCCCAGAGCCCGACGCGGGGCTCGAACTCACGGACCGCGAGATCGTGACCTGGCTGAAGTCGGACGCTTAACCGACTGCGCCACCCAGGCGCCCCAATAAAGATGTTTTTAAAGAAAAAATTTCAGGGCGCCTGGGTGGCTCAGTCGGTTAAGTGTCTGACTTCGGCTCGGGTCGTGATCTCACGGTTCGTGGGTTTGAGCCCCGCATCAGGCTCTGCTGACAGCTCGGAGCCTGGAGCCTGTTCCAGATTCTGTGTCTCCCTTTCTCTCTGTGCCCCTCCCCTGCTCGTGCTCTGTCTGTCTCTCTCCAAAACAAATATTAAAAAAATGTGTTAAAAAAAAAATAAAGAAAAATTTCAGGAAATGGGGGGGGGGGGTGGCTATGTGTCAGGGGGGGGGGGGAGCTCTTTGGGGATTGCTCTGGTTTATCTGGTTTATCCGAAGTGAGTTGGGCTGGAGGCCGGATGAACGTGCAGGGAATGCCGTCCTGAAGTCCTGAGGTTTGGTGGTGACATTTTTAAGAGCAAAGAAAGGAAGGATCTTTGCTTTGTGGATCCGGCCGGGGGCACCTGAGTTGGTTAAGTGTCTGACTTTGGCTCAGGTCATGATCTCTGCTGTCAGCACGGGGCCCACTTTGGATTCTCTGTCCCCCTCTCTCTCTGCTCCTCCCCCGCTTTCTCTCTTTCTCAAAAATAAATTAGCATTGAAAAAAAGAGAGAAAGAAAGAAAGTAAGAAAGAAAAGAAAGAAAGAAAAAGAAAAAGGGAGGAAGGAAGGAAGGAAGGAAGGAAGGAAGGAAGGAAGGAATCGATTCCAAGGGCCAGTGAGGGGGGCTTTGCTGCCTACCCAGCAGGAATGGACCTCAGAGGCAAGGAGCCCTCTGTCAGGGCCTCTGGCTGCTGAAATAATTTACCAGGGACCTAGATGCAGGGCTCAAGGTCTGGTGTGCATACTGGCACAGGGAGGCTTCTGACGTGCCAGCTGCCAAGTTCCACAGCTGAAGGCCTTTGCAGACCCAGATACAACACTGTTTTAGACCTCGGTCTCTGGCCTGACTTGTTCTATCCCTCGGCCAGCGCCGTGTCCTGGACAAGCTACCTCATATCACTGGGTCTCAGTTTCCTTATCTGTAAAATGGAGCCAGGGACCCTCCATCATGAGTAGGTGAGGGCAATGAAACCAAGTAACATATGTAAACATCTGACTCAGGTCATGATCTCAAGGTTAGCGGGTTTGAATCCCACATCGGGTGACCTCGAGTCCTACTTCTCTCTCTCTCTGCCTCTCGCTCACTTGCACTCTCTCTCTCTCTCTCTCTCTCTCTCTCTCTCTCTCTCTCTCATAAAAAAGAAGCCTCTGGCGGGGAAGAATACCACCAACACAGCCCTCCCCACCCTACCCTCCTGGCCTCCACCCCCCTCCCCTCTGCAAGGCCCCTCCTCTCCTTACACGATTGCTCTTAACCGCTTCTTGGACCACAGACCCATTTGAGAATGTGACAAAAGCCATGACCTCTCTCTTTAGAAAACTCGAGACTTAGGCCTCATGGTCAGCAGGGTCAGGGCACGTGTGATCTCAGAACACACACTGTTACTCATTAACGTGCAAAAATGCATCCTTGTGGCACGAAGAGGCTGGGAATGTAGGAAGGGGGAGTCACAGGGCCTGTGTTCTAGGGTCTTAGAAGGCCCATGTGTCAAAGTGCCGAGGCTCCCCTTTCCTGGGGCCGTGGGTGAGGGAAGTGGACGGTCCCATGGGTGGAAATGGAGGGGTGGTTATTGCCACGGCCAGAGGCTGGATTTGTGGCCACAGGAGGACAGCAGATACATTTATCTTTCTTTTCCTGCCTGTCCTTTGGTGAGATGTCGACTTCACGCCAGCCTCTGCCTCCCCCGTTTTGTCCCTGCCTGGATGTCCCTGCAGAAAGCACCAGATTCTAGGTTCTACCCAGCCCCCACACACTGTCAGTCTGCGGGCAACAGACTTCTTCCCTCTTGGGATCTGTTTCCCCATCTGTGAAATGGGCAGATGAACCACACTAGTAGTTACCAAACTGTATTTCCAAGATCTTGGGGCTGAAAGCAAGCAACAGACAGGCCAGAGGGGTCAGCAAGCTCTCGACAGAGCAGGCCACCCTTCAGTTAGAAACTACAGGAACACAAACAACCCCCCAAAGTAGTTCTGTTGCCAAAGCCAAGTCTGAAAACCCTGGACTGGTTGACTGCCCGGGCTCTTGCACTCCTTCCGGCCCTGCCCCCTCTTCCCATTTCCCTCCTTTCCAGGCCAGTAGAGGCCATGCCATCCGGGGAGGACCAAGAAAACCCTCGTTGTTAACCCCGGAGGTTGGAGCAGGTCTGGGGAGGCG